CTAACCCACCCTAGCCTTCGCAATATTTGTGACTATTTGTGATTGGAAAATTCTCAATTCGTGAAACGTTTCCTGGTTCGTCGTAAAGATGCCAAAGAAAAGCGTTCCGCCATAAGCTCCCCTTCATAGGGAGAAAGCTTAAGTTTGATACTCTCTAGCCACTCAGACACCTAGGTGTAAATTGCCTTTTGTCCCCTTCCCAATCCTCCGGATACCAGCCTGCAAGTGCCCAGTCCAAAATGCCCACAACTCTGCCATCACATAGAATGATATCCCGTGGGGCTAGATCTGCGTGTGAGAAAATGGTACGATAAATTGTTGCTATGGCAGGATGCGACTTTTTCTCTCTGAATATTTTAGCTGTTCTCTCTTAAGGGAACACCGCCCCTTAATGACCCATCACCAACAAAATCCTGACAATGGTTGGTCCTAGATAACCAAATAGTGATCGGGTAATTCTAAATCTGATGAGAAAGATGGTGGTTTTCAAACCTAACGCTCATTATACTTTGCAAACGAAGTGTTATTTATGATTGAACATACCCTGGAATGTTACCATCCTAAGCTCTGGTGGTCGGTGTAACTGAACTAGCGGACGAAGGTACACAAGGATACTCGGACTTGGATTTCTCTAGTGAAATAGGGAATCCTTAATAAGAATGATGTGGAATATACGGCGCAGGTTTGGCCTTCGCAAGGGGGGATTCGTTTAACCTGATATAAGGGATCAACACCACCAAATCAGTCTCTTTCTAGCACTCTGACAAAGAGTCCAGAGGCATGCGACGGGACCGGCGGCAAAAGCTATCTTAGGCATTAGTGAACCTCTGGATATATACGCAACTTCATACATTCTGAAGGGTGAGTACGGAGTGTTATCTCAATTATATCTCTGGGCAAAGCGGAACCACCCTTGCTGCGGTAATTACGTGGATTATTTTGATGGGGACTTTATTAACAGATCATAACTTGATGAATATGCGTATCAACATCAAACGTCGTCTCCCATATTTTCTCCCTAAATATCATATAAATGATATGTGTAGAGTATCCATAGCTACCTCGGAACATCGTGGGATTGTTAAGTTAAATACCACAGTGGTAATATTACGCCAAGAATGACAATACATGATACATCGTCGTGGCCTTTTCTGGAACATCTCTGCTTCAGATCGGCGTAAACTCACTCTACTTCGCTGTCTCCATCCCCTCGTAGCAACCTTTTCCACAACACCAATCCTACACCTCATTTCATTTCATTTCCTCTCATCTCTTTTAAGTAGCTGCGGAATTCCTTTTTTTCCCTAAATTTCCCTCTCTTTTATCTCACCAGACACCCTCAATACCGCGCCATGGTAAGCATCCAGCTCTCCACTCCTTATTTTGTCTATCGAATTCTTCCCACCCTTAGAGGCGCAAATAGGTCTCCAAAAGCGCAATTCACGACACAAACACAACTAACCTACCTATCTCCAAAAATGCAGGCCTCAGGATCTGGCGCCGACTCAGGAGCTGAAGGAACCAAGGCGTCCTTGAGCGCTTCCGGCGCTGCCGGTTCGTCCCTCAACCGTCCTTCATCACCCACTCCCCCTGGCGGACCACGGACAGCTCTGCGCCGCCGGGCTGCTGCAGACCACAAGGAATCCATCCGGAATGCGCGCCCCACATCGACACGAGCTGCTGGTGCTGGAGGTTCCTCTGGGACTATGCTAAAGCTCTATACGGACGAAAGCCCCGGATTGAAGGTTGATCCGGTTGTGGTGTTGGTGCTCAGTTTGGGCTTTATATTCTCAGTTGTTGGTTTACACGGTACGTTTTGCTCCGTTGTCTTTATGTGTTTTGTTGGTGCAGCTCTTTCTTGTCCTCAATATGTGATATCTCTGCCTTCCTGATGGTAGGCTCGTGAAACTTCCCTGGTATCATACATGTTCCGTGGTGCTGAGCCAGCCTTTGTTGCTCGCTAAGTTTAACTAACATGAGTTGCTCTGCAGTTATTGCCAAAATTACTCGGGTGTTCTCTAGATAGACATTTTGAACTCAACCTCTGTCGATGCCGTATCCTCGACAACACCATTCTTATCGCGAATCAAAAGTCTAATCGAAGAAGCCTGTACGATATGACCGCTTGAGGTAGAGCAGGTGTTTCGTAAGGTTTAAATTGTCTGCTCTGCAGATCAGTTTCATTTTGCTCGGATGGACTTGGTCATACTTTCCCTTCTTGGTCTTTGCTTGAGTTCATATACCCTACATCTACTTGCTTCACAATATCTTCCGAACGTCTCCTACCAACTACTGATGGTCATGTCGGACTGGGTGAACGGGGGAGCTGTGGGCATGAGTGGAATATTCCCACCCGTTTTGCTCTGTTCCTCCCTGAAACCTGGTTTGCTAGTACATGTTTTCATTCACCTCTTGAGTTTCACTTCTTCCACCTGGATATTTATCTACCGTCGACCCTTTCCACCCTTTCCTCCCGTTCGTCTGCAGTTCATTGGGGGAACTGCACGCCTACCGTTACCCATGAACCAAAAGCTATTTTTGTTTTCCTTTATGGCCGCTGCCGATGTGTATTTTCCTATTTCTGAAATTCACGTCGTAAATAATATATAACTTTTTATATTTTCTCACGTCCTGGGTTCTGTTTTCGTTTCCCCTACGGTTGTCCTTGACTCGAGTCTCTGTTTGGGTGTTGATGCGCTCCAGCATTCCGTGATAGAATGGCGGAGAACTGGGAGGGGAGGGCGGACTTATGAATGCATGTATGTATGCAACGCTTTAACTGCTTGTTCACTTAAATCTAATCCCACATCTCCCTTATAATGAACAGTCAAATTTGCCCTTCATCTGCGCTCCTAGCGCTCTGCTTAAGTGGGAGGTTCAACTAGACGACCTCTTGACAGGTTAGAAGACTCACCCCTCTAAAATCCCGGCGAAATTTAACAGCCACAATTAAAGCTCAAGTAAGATTTGATCTGCAAGTATGTAGTTCTCACCAAGGTTCGCCCTATGCCAACTCATCCGAATAATTCTACGTGTGCGAACGAGTGATAGAATGATACTGTGGCCTTCACTTATCCCTTGACATTCCATCCTATATTTAGACGCCAGGCAGCCTGGAGCAACGACCCAGCTTGGTGCCTGTTCCTCCTTAACTATAAAAGCCAGCCCTCCTCTCAGCGATCTTCGCGACCTCCTCAAAGAAATTTTTCTGTTTTTTGTCATATATATACTTACGCTAAGTCAGTCTGTTCATAAATTGCTGGTTGAGTGCTCTATACATCATCCAGCTCATATACATTTGCTTCTTAAATAGCTCTAGCCTTCTGTTGGTACACCATATTTCGTCTTGAACCGATCCCCTATCTCCCCTTCTTGACTCTATGTGATATTTTAGTTATCCTGCACTCTGAAACTGATATAGTTGTTCTCCCTATTTGTCATATGTATAATGGCGACTGAGATTGTCCATACTATTGAGATATCTCTAGTGGACATTTCCACAAAATCAGTGACTTTGGGTCCTCAGATAGCTACCATTGTCCGGAAAATTCCGGGCGTCCTGTTTAAGGTATGTTTCCTTGCCCAGTTATTTTCTTCTTGAAAGCTATGAAGGCGTCTATTTATATATTCAGGTGAATGACCTCGGAAGTAAATATATTTCCCAATTAGGAAAAGTTCAGGACGAGTTCAATTAAATAATCAACTGTATTCTTCCGCTCTGACCCTCACACCAAATCTGTTAGGGATCAAGTGACCCCTCTGGAATTGTTTGTCCTTAGTCCAAGTATAGAATACTGGCGCCAGGGAGTCTAACAAAATCTTTCAGTCTTACAAATTCACTTTTACGAATTCCTTCCTTTCCCTAAGGGAATTCGTCCTTTGTAAAACTAACCATAGGAAGTGCTAGAGCCGTATTCAGGCATGCCCTGGTTACGCAAGACTAAGATGCTCTAAACCCAGTGTTATTTCAACTAATTACTTATGATAACTTAGTGATAATTGGGCATTAATATTTCAGGATAAATCTATATAATATATTGGTGTGTATTTGAAATTTGAGCAGAGTTGATCATGATTTTAAAAATGTGAGCTCAACTTACAACTCATGTTCGACTTCTTACACGTATGCTTTTACATATTCACCACTTACGTAGCCAACACACATACTCCGTCATAACTAATTTAGTATTCTAAGACAAACAAGACAAACACAGCAAGTAACTTCCCATACTAAATTGGTGTGATGCTACAAAGTGGCCGAGGAAGTGGGAAAATTAAACCTAAATCAGACAGGTGACACAGCCACACAGAACTATCATCATTGCCTTTGCCACAAGAGCCGCATGGAGCAAGCTCCAACCTCCAGACTTCCCAATCAGCCTGTCATCAAGTCTCTAAGAAACCTCGCACCTTCAATCATCCAACATAACAAATTTTGCTTTTCTCCTAGATTTAATTGTCGTGTTCACCTTTTCCTTGCCTTGTAACCCTCATATTAACCAGCTTTCTGGTTTCCTCAATCATTACGGCAGTTCAACCCAACACATAAATTTGCTCTTATTATAGGCTGGTTTTACCGAGCAAGTATACACTGTATATCCATATAGGTATATCCTTTCTTAACCTATTCTCAAAAGCCTTGAAATCCAGATTGGCAGCTTACCCTATTGACAAAGACAAAGAACGAATCAAATCCAAAGTTACTTGAACAGACCAAGAGATATTCTTGCAGGGTAGAGAGAAGAAACGCGCAGGCTATTCTCAGTTTAGCACGTTTGTCAGAAAAAAGAGAAGATGGCCATTTGCCTCACATTTGGAACTCAGGGTATGATTTTATCCATTCACCTTGGCCCATGTTTCGATATCTGTAAAATCTGGTTCCGAAGCAGCTGAAATGGGACACAAAAAAGAACATTCCACTAACATGTCTTGCCAGAATTCACATCCCGCCTTCAAGGATATGAAAATGTCACTGCTCAATGTCATAATTGTGAGTGTGGAACCCCTGTAATGCTGCTGATGAAAATGGCCATTGAGTCAAAATGCAAGTATGAGAAAACTATTAACTTCTTCTATCTGGTTTGAATAGGTGGAAACTGGTCTGCGAATTGCGTGACAAGGTGGTAAGTGCACAGAATTTCCTTCTTTTCTCCAATCGGCAGTGAGTGAATCTAACTATATCTTTCTAGGCCCTGGTTCACAGTTTGCTTTGTGGTAAGGCAGCTTTTCTAATACACTCGATCCCATTTCTTTCTCAGCTCGCGGAGAAACTACTCAGCCAATGCGATCTTTATTTTGCATGAACTAATTTCATTTAACTCTTAATTTAGCCCGTCGTTCCCTTATCAACTCACAAGTACAAGGTTCATCTTTGATATATTCCCCCTGTTTTTCTCTTCACCAACCAGCGCTCATTCCAGAATTTTAGGAAGTTTCATGCCACATATGCCGTTTCGCGCAGGATCTAAGGTATGGTATATTTCTCTGTCCTCTCCTGCATCATCCATGTTTCTTGATTTCCGCTCGCCTCTGCCCTTCTAACTTAGTTTACACAGCAAACGACCAGACGTTCAGTCACAAGCTGGTGGAGGAGGACCACATCCACCTGTACCTTATCAAGGGCACCCTGGCTGGGGACCTCAGGGGCCAGGAGCACCTGTGCAACCACATCAAGGTTACGTGTATAAGTAATCTGGGCTATTGGAGAGTATACTTGTCCTTGGGACTGCTTCTGCCCTCTTTTCTTATTGTGATTTCTGGTTGTTTGGGTCGCATTGTCCTTGTGTATTTTATGAACATTCCCTACGATTATCGTGCTGTTTTCCTTCGGTTGTTACTTTTGTTGCTGTTTCTTCTTTTGAGTTCGTTTTCTTTACACGGTGTATGGATTAATTTAATATTCTCCTGGGTTCGAAACATACAATTTCATTGTTATACGCCTACATACCCAAATGTTTATCAAGACTTGCTCTTTGGCAGGTTTTGGCCTTTTATCTAGTTCCTTTTCATACTCCTAGTCACTCTTTTGGAATATAAACCAGGATTTATATTAAGAAGAGGAAACGAGAATGGAGGGTTAGTATATTAGAGGAAGGTATAATTCTAATTGAACCAGCTTCGGTTCACAAAATACCTGTCTACACTGGTTTAGTCATCATTCACATTTTCTCTGCTCGTTAATTTGCACGCAGGGAGATATATCATGATACACAATGCTGGTGAAGCGAAGAGACAAAATACATCAGAAGAAATGACTAAACCAAGATGAAATTATGAAAAAAAAAAAAGGGTTGTTCGTAATTCGTTCATTTCCAAGCTCCACATCTTGGTTTTATTTAATTTCTCTTTCGTGCACATACAAATATGTATTGAGAATATTAATCCATCGGAATATCGCGTCGTTTAGGAAGTAGTCCGAAGGGAGAAAAAGAAAATCATCCCGATACTGTCACAATGGATAGCATGGAGTGGTATACGAGGAGGGTTGACGCTCGTATTTGGGCCGAGGAAAGCAAAGGAGACAATAATCTATTGGGTCTTGAAGAGCAAAATGGCGCAGTGTCCCACATAAAAATATATGAAATGCTTGGTTTCTGGAGTTGTGACAGCTTGGGATCAGTCAACCTGAACGAACATTGGTTTGGTTCCTACATATTCCTACATAGAATGGAAAAGGGAGGGGTGAAGGTGTTCATACCGTGCGTTACGAAACTGCCGAAATTCCGCCCAACTATGCAATGCCAGGTAGCGCCTTTGCGCAAGTCGAACTGCATTTCAAGTAAGCAACAATGCATTTGCTAAGGAGGAACATGAAGATAGAACTGAGAAGAGATTTCCTGACTGCTACTCACCTCCTTCTTTATATACTGGGCAATATCCTATGAGGGCATATACCCATTAGTTCGAAAGAATCAATCCAGTGGATTTGACCTCAATCTTCATCGAATAAGTTGTACCTTTTCAATATGGTATTTATCCATGGCCTCCGTTGCTGTCAGAAAGAGCATCCAGTGTTAGTTTGCTTTTCGCATTATAATGATATGCAAGATTCTGACGTACCAACTTCAATGGCTTCCTGCTGCATGTCCTCGCTCTAGATCCCCGATTGGCTATTAGCAAACATACATTCAACAGTAGATCGACGTATTGCAATCATTTTTCTTAAGGTTTGTCATTAGAGATTTTTGTGCTTACCATATCAGCAGACTTAATCTGGGCTGTAGTTCCATATCTTGTCAGTAATGGTTGTGGTAGTCGTAGGTAGGTCAGGCAGGGGAAAACAGGGGGTAACTGTATGCTGTCTGTTTGTTTTGATACCTTCGAGTTTCTCTCGCTTTTCAGAGGCCATTGTAGATATGGGTTCAAGGGTCGAAGAATTCCAAGTTAGATCCACGAGTGTGATATGAGGTGGAAAAGAGGTTTTGCAGAAATTGCGTAAAAGATGGTGGTGTGTTTAAAAACAGACTGGTTGATGGTTCCGACGTTGTTCAATGAACGTCTGCGCCTATTGTTTGTGACTGTTGCGACAAAGCTCTGTATGGAAGCCAAACTGCTGGCAACCCTCACCGCCTTGGGTGGCAGAAAACAGTTAACATCTTTCCACACATTTCTAGGTTGTTTTTTTTCTTTCTCCCCATTATTATTATTCTCTTCACAATCTCTGTCAACATTCGGGAAGAAGAGATCCTGGGTCATTCTCATATAATCAACATGGAAGGGAACACAAGAGTCTTTGTGTCAGGCTTGCCGCCTACTTTCTCAAATGATGATCTTCGAAAACATTTCTCGATCCGTTACCAGGTTACTGACGCTCATGTCATTCCGAAACGAAGGATTGGCTTTGTTGGCTTCAAAACCCCTTCTCTGGCACAGGATGCTGTCAATTACTTTAACAAGTCATATATAAGGATGTCGAAAATAGCAGTGGAGATGGCTCGGCCAGTAAGTACCCCTTCGCATCGTTTCCCTTTGTCACCCAGATATCACTTTCGAAGCCATCGTCGAAGGCTGACCTATTAAGGGGTTGATGAAACTGACCGGAGACTTAAGATCGATGCTGAGCCCCCTACAGTTGGGAAGTCGCATTCAAAACATGGCACATCTGCCAACTCCACATCTCTCAAGCGCAAACATGACCAAGTAGAACAGAAACAGGATCCTAAGCTGCAGGAATATATTGCGGCTATGCAACCGCCAATGAAGTCAAAGACATGGGCTGATGATAGCATAATGGCTGATACTAACGCGGTGCCAGCTAATAATGCTACAATTATTCCGTCTATCAATGCTGAAAAATCTGAAGCGCAAAACAAGCGGTTGAAATTTGATCATCACTTTCTTGTTAAGAAGAAGCAGATGGAGCGGCCAAATCATATCCCTGAGGATAGTTTTACCACTCCAAGGCCTAGATCCGTGGAGTCTGAAAATGACCCACAGGTCGAATCCGTCGTAGAAGCGCCGAAGTCCGATATGGACTGGTTACGATCAAGAACGAGTCGACTTCTTGGCCTGGTTGAAGAAGAAGACGATGACGAGGGTTCCGCCGTAACTCCCCGAGTACGAGAAATTGAAGCAAGCGATGACAGTGATCACGAGATCGTCATGGGAAGAAATTGCCCAGAGTCTACGTTACCCAGACATAACGAACCTCCCAATCCATCCGATGACAAAGAATCCTTTGACGCAAATATAGGTCTACTTCGTGAGACCGGTCGATTGTTCGTCCGGAATCTCCCCTATAACGCCAGTGAAAGTGATTTGGAACCTCTATTCGTTTCTTTTGGAAAGATTGATGAGGCAAGTTTTTTTCTCTTTACTTCTCTTTTCTTCTATATTTTTTCATTTCTCCTTTTTTTTTTTTTTTTTTTTTTTTTTCAAACCATCACCCATCTTCTACGTGCAACTAGCCGCCGCTTGACCTCCAATGATGATTTTCCAGATAGGGACAGCTTATGCTATGCAAATGATGTCACCTGGAAAGAGGATTTTAGTAGATGCCTCTTTTGATCTGAGGATTTTGTTGTTGAAGTATTTCGACGTCTGATTTATCAAGTTTTCGTTCATAATACCGGATGCTGACTGTAAAAAATATAGATTCATGTTGCTTTTGATACACGACAGTCTAAAAGCAAAGGTTTTGCATACATACAATATGTAGACCCCGAGGCGGCCATTCAGGCTTACCGAGTCCTTGACGGGAAGGATTTCGAAGGTCGTCTCCTGCACATCTTACCGGCCTCGCCAAAGAAAACGCACAAGCTAGATGAATATGAGCTTTCAAAGCTCCCTCTAAAGAAACAGCAGCAGATTAAACGAAAACAAGAAGCTTCATCTTCAAGCTTCAATTGGAACTCTCTTTATATGAATGTATGCACTTTGTCATTTATGTTGGCAATACATAACGTAATCTAACAATTTTACTAGGCTGATGCAGTTATGTCATCAGTATCTGAACGGCTAGGGGTTTCCAAATCTGAACTGCTTGACCCCACGTCTTCTGATGCCGCAGTCAAGCAAGCCCATGCTGAAACGCATGTCATTCAAGAAACAAAGGCATATTTCTCATCGAATGGGGTGAATCTGGATTCGTTCAGGCAGCGAGAACAAGGTAACACTGCGATTCTTGTTAAAAACTTTTCCTTTTGCGTAAAAGCCGAAGATCTAAGGAAGCTGTTCGAATCGTTTGGGGAAATTAAAAGGCTCCTTATGCCACCGAGCGGCACGATAGCCATTGTTGAATTCGCCCTGGCGGATGAGTGCCAGAAGGCCTTTAAGGGGCTTGCGTATCGGAAACTAGGTGATTCGATACTGTTTTTGGAAAGAGCACCAAAAGACTTGTTTGATGAGAAGGCGATCGCAGTCAACGCTGTACTCTCTGCTCCAAAAGTGGTCTCGCAAACATTCTCGACATCTGACACTTTCAAGGCGAGTGAAGCGGACGAAAACGAGACTCTGTTGGAGACATCGACTCTGTTCGTTCGAAATCTTAACTTTTCTACCACAAATGTTCGCCTGGCAGAGGTATTCCAACCCTTGGACGGGTTCTTGTCTGCTAGGGTGAAAACCAAACCCAATCCAAAGCGGCCAGGGGAAACACTTAGCATGGGCTTCGGGTTCGTGGAGTTCAGAACCAGTGCTCAGGCACGCGCTGCCCTTGCAACGATGAACGGTTATAAACTGGATCAACATGAGCTCGTCATCAAGACCTCGCACAAAGCCACGGATGCGGCTGAAGAGAGAAGGCGCGAGGACAATGCTAAGAAACTAGCTATGCGCGGAACCAAAATCCTCATAAAAAATTTACCGTTCCAAGCTACAAAAAAGGATATCAGGAACCTTTTTGGTGCATATGGCAAACTCCGCTCAGTTCGTGTGCCGCAGAAATTCGACCGCACGGCTCGTGGATTTGCGTTCGCTGATTTTGTAAGTGCCCGGGAGGCGGAGAATGCCATGGAGGCGCTGAAACATACCCATCTTCTTGGTAGGCGTCTTGTGTTGGAGTTTGCGTCAGAGGACGCTATTGATCCCGAGAAGGAGATTCGGAATATCGAAAAGAAGATGGATGTTCAGGTCAATCTGGTGAAACTTAAGAATCTCACTGGGTCTGGGAGGAAGAAATTTAATCTTGATGCACCTGGTGATGAGGATAAATGAATAGATCGATTGCATCCTCTTGGCTGTACATTGTATTCTTCTATAACCCGAGCGCGGAGGCACAATTGCTATACGAATTTGTTAACTTCAAATTCTTAATGTGCGGGTCCTGCTCAAGGGATGTATTAGTAACATTTAGGCATACTAAGTCCATCTCACGCCAGGTTTATAATCACGTTAAGAAGATAGGGAAAGTGTGCTAATGATCTATTTTATTGAACCATTGGAGCTGCGATGACTCCTCCACGTATATTCTACAAGAGAGGCGAATAGGTGACATAGTTGTAGATACCTATGTTAGCCCAGTGCTCCGTAGAAATGCTTCCGATCTCCGGATTTGTTCCCAATCCCTTGAACCAAATCCGCTCGGGAAATCACATGACACGATCCCAAAACTTTTTTTTTAATCTCGACGACATTCCATTAAAATGAATGTTATATCATCTGCATATATACACGTCTGCCAATCGCACGATTTAACCCTCAATCAACTAACCCTGGGCCCTGGAGAGAGGACTCCGTCCAGAAAAGACGCCAAAAAGGGAAGAATCCTTCAGACGAACAATTTACCATCCAAAAGAGTTATCGCTCCTGAAAGCGTACTGTATGGATCCACAGCAAATACTGCAACACCGGCTGCAAGTAAGGAGCCTGAATAGCCTTTGACAAAAGTCAAAAGGGACGACGACAAGAGGCATAATAGTAGATTATATTATTATCTACGTATATCCATGGCTATCAACGCTACACGCCAGGTGGTGAACCTCAAGCAGGTCCATATTACAATGATACCAAGTCCGCGCACGCTCGTAGAGTCCCAGTTGGTTCTTGGGGCGATGCGGAAGTTTGGGGAAGTGTCATATTTCCTAAATCTGAAGGTAAGTTTTATGACTCCTCTTTTGATTTCTTTTCTGTGGCTTTAATTTTTGGTTCTTAGTTATTTTGAGTGGGTGAAGGGGCCTTCTGTCTCTTCGTTTGTATTGGAGCTAGGTCATCCAGACTTGAGACATGAATTCTTTTAATATCGTTTTGATTTCGTCTCCTGAGCGAGAACAAAGATACTGTTTTTCTTATTGTAATGTGAAAAAGCACCCACCTTTTGGATCACCCTGATATGAGGTTTATTGGCATTAAGCTGTAATCCTCTTAGAACATTTTTGGGGGTCCCATTGCTCTTCTCCCACCCTTTCTATCATACATAATCTCGTACTCTTTAAATTGCGTACTAAGAACATGTCCTAGAACACCCCGTCGCCACGAGCCAGGAATACTGGGCGCTCTGCTCTAGTAATATTCGAAACCGTTGAAGCAAGAAACGCTGCTGTGGAAGCTTCTCCACTTACTATTCCCATTCCTAGTCTATCTAAACTTTTGCCGGAATCAAGCATGTTTAACTCCAGCAAGGAGAGCTATCCAACCAAAAGCGCCCTCGCCAAACCTCGAATCAAAGCCAGAACTAAAGAAGCAAGAAGAAACAGAGAGAGAGACAAAAAAAGAGAAAAAAAATTAGCTGATTATGGTGATGGTAACTCCCCAGAACCATCAATGCTCTGTTACGTTGAACCATCCCACCATGACCACAATGTTGCTGTCATGCAGAATCCATACTACAACGCCTTCCACGTTGCGACCAACTCACTCGAGGTCCAGGATCTCATGAAGACTGCCACTATTTGCAGTGAAGGAGTTGGCTATAGTGAGGCACCCACTAAGAGCCCTGGCGATCTAGTCCTGAAACCCCCCCCGTGGCTACAACATATGGATTGTTTCCCGAAGAAGAAACGGATGTTCCCATTTCGTCACCAAGCTAATGTCTTACGGATTGCGGAGACGCTTTGTGGGGATTCCCTTATGCGACTGTATCGGGAGGGAAGGGAGGTTATGGAAAAGTTGAAAGTGAAGAAAGCTATGACTTCGAATGAGGAGGCGAATGAAATGGCGCAGGAGCAGGAGCAGGAGCAGGAGCAGGAGCAAGAACAGGAGCAGGAGCAAGGGCAAAGGAGAGAACAAGAGCAAGAGCAAGAAAGAGAAATGGAGGGAATTAGAAAAGAGTGTGGGATAAGGGTCTTGATTGAGCAACCGGCATACTAGGTTCCTGTCTTTCGAAAACCTACGGGGTGGGAAGAGAAAGATTCACGAACCAAATGAAAGTATCCCCTGACGCGCCTCCCTCAAAAAGGGCTCGCATATAATTGCGCTTGCTCACTCGCCTTTACTCGAAATATCAAAGGACTTTTGGTTAGGTTATGGTGTTTTTAGGTGCGGTTTGCATCGGTTTGCATCCCTGGAACATCATGTCCAAATGATCTACTCTGCAATGCTCTGCGAATGCTAAATAATGCAGCCTAGCCCAGCCCAACCGGTGTGTTTTCATGTGAGATGGTTAAGAAATGCGGAATGGCACAATGGATGATTAATATCAACCTTGAAGTTAAACATTTTCCGTGCCATCCTGGGTTCTAGCTATCTTGGCTGGAAGATGAGTTCCAGGGGAGAGAGGAAGAGAGGAAGAGTGTATTTCGTTTGAATATATGTAGCATCTACGCCATGTATCATTAATCCTCTGCTTCGTATATATAGTGGATAATAGACAAGGTGTTTTTGGAGTAACTTCAGAAGATTGTTGGGCCTGTAACTCATGAAATGGGAAGTCTTGAGTTCAGAAAAAGGGTCGGAAAATTCCACCAGGTACATGAACATCAAATTGGATTCCATGTTCCTCATCTATAGCAGATTTTAGTAGTAGTTAAATAAGAAAGTGTGGACATAAAGGAAATAGAACCTCAAGCGTATGGATGGTTCATCTCAATCTCATTTTAATATGGACGGAAGGGAGAACCCTCCTTCCTGTCTCTCATCATACTTATAGCTCAATATCTATCATAAGGAAATAAATTGTCATTAATGCAAACCATAATCGCTGATACCGGTTATGCAAATCTGGTTACTCTCTTATCGATTTCACAAGTTCGACTCAGGGAAGGGGTTAATTCGACCATCCACTTGTCACAACACACGGACGTACGCTGTCATTTGTTGAAATGAGGCAGTTAGTAAAAAAAAAAAAAAAATTGGCCCTTTTCTCACTACTTTGTTCTAAATTTCAAAACTGTCCGGTTCAGTGGCACCCAAAGTGAAGTCAAATGAAAATTGCAAAAGCACACGTAAAGAGGCTGATAGATGAAAATAAAACAATGGCAATTAAACTTACTCGCATCAATTTGCTGAATCTGCGGCAGCGTTAGCCGCACCTTATTCCTATACAAAGCCGGACACTTCGTCTGTAAAGGATTCCCCTCGAAATACACCGTCTTAAGCTCCTCTTTATCCTTTAGCTCGCGCTCCACTTCCTCAAAGCTGGCAAATTGGTTGTTAGATGCCCACAGCTCCTCAAGATGGGAGAGATGGGAAAGGTTTTCTAGTGTGCTGATTCGGTTGTTAGAAATGTCGAGGACGCGGAGGTTGGTGCTATTTTCTAGGCCAGATATGGCGGTAATGGCGTTGTGGGAGACGTAGAGTTCTTCGAGGTTGGGGAGGTTTGAGAGGCCGGAAATGTTTGTTAGGCGATTTGAGGGGAGAGAGATGATTTTTAAGTTGGCGAGGGCGTCAATATTCTGAAAGAGTTGGTTAGAGTGCCATGGTGATATATGGAGCTCGCGAATAGGAGAGAGCGAAAGACAGTCGCTTAAGGATCGATGGTATATTATTCACATACCTTGATTTCGGTGATTTTATTCTTTCCTAACCAGAGCTCCTCTAAACCTATGAGGGAGTCCAGATTTTCGATATCCTAAAACAATATTCATAAGCACAGCTCGTTCATCCATATCCGAGATCCCACCAGCAAAGAGAGAGATAGTGCTCAAAGGGTTCAGCACGAACTCGAATCTTATTCGCAGCGAGCTCCAAATTCCTCAATTCTTTTAGCCCCTCCAGCCCCTCGATCTTCTGTATTCGATTCTGCACGAAATATAGATCCTTCAGATGCACCAGGTGCGAAATATTCTTGATATGTTTGATATTGTTGAAGCTAAAGTCCAGGCTAGTGAGTTTGGAGAGGTGTTCTAGCCCTTTGATATGCGATATCATATTGTCATAGAGATCTAAGTCGGTGAGTGTTGGCCAAAGGTTTTCGGGGAAGCTGAGTCGGGATATTTGGTTTTGCCGGAGGCAGAGTTTCTGAGTGTATTTCATTCAGTTGACAGCCAATGGAAAACTGTTGACGGGGTATACGCACCTCTAGATTCGTGAAACGTTCCAAATGAAGTGCTGGAAGTGACGTTATGCGGCAATGGACCAGATCGATGTCCTGTTTGTTTGTATAAACAATAGCTCATTTACAGCTGACTCATATTATCTTTGTAGTCTGTGGATAGGCCGGGAATGGTGGTGTCCACATACGTCAACATCATTGCTCAACTCCGAAAGCAGATCTAAACGGGAAAACGCGAGACGTATATCAGCATGTATCTATAAAACCGCTTAAGAGGAAAAAGAGCAACGTAAGGAGGATGGAGATGACAGCAATATCTCTGTTCTAGGAGATATATATACCTTCATCTGCATCAATCTCTTGTGGAGGTAGAGCATTTTCATCTGAATCTTCGGGATCTTCTTGGCTGGCCAGCACGGCATGATGCTCGACACGCGACTTGCCATCCCAGCCTTTACTATCTCTCATTTCTGGGCTGCCTTGTGTGTCGTTTAAGTCGTTGTTTTGAGACGGGTTCGACGTCGAGCTCGCAGAGATTGAAGGGTTAGATTCCGTCATTCATGTAGCACCTATGTTTTGGTGAGGGAGGAAAGAGGGGAAAGCCTGGAGGTTGAAGAAATAGTTCCTCTGGGGTAGTGAAATTTCTGCGAGGTTGCGATAGGTGCTTGTAGAGAGGGGAGTGGTAGAAAGAAATAAATAGTATTGGGTTTACTTCTGTCGCGGAATCAGGGTTGGATGAAAAGGTGTAGTTATTTATGTAACTAAAGTTCATGTGGGGAGTTGCGGAAGATTGTCAGCCAAGCCTTAACTCGTTTTTACTTGCAGAGAGGGGGCTCTGGACACAGCCAAACGAAATTGCTACCAGCAGCAGCCAAAACAAACGGCTAAAATTCTTGATAAAATTTACTGTACATTAGATTTTCTCACTTAAAACCACAAGAGGCTCTATGCTGGGGATGGTTACATCAGAGGGCCATAGGTTATTTCTCCGCCACGGACTCGATGGACGATTCTTATAAAGTAACCTTCTCCAACAGTCATATGTGGATTAGATAAACGATAAACTGGGCAAAGTATGTACTAAAAATTACAACGATGATTGGATGTATTTTGTATATTTCTCTTTATAATAACATGCTAATGATTGAAGAATATTCCGTACAGATATGAAGGGATGTAACACTATGCAAGCAATGCGGTCTCCTTACAGTGAAATGGGAACAGAGAGAAAGATTTCAGCCTCCCAATAGGTACAACGTGGGAAGGAAACGATGGGTGAAAAAAAATGGGAGATGAATGATCTGGCTAAGAAAGTCTCCTGGGACTGTTATTATATAGCCCAGTAATAACTACATAGTAGGCAGGGAGGTAAAGGGCAAGGGGTTTCTCTGTTTAGTATAAAAGGAGTTGATAGGGGCAAAAGGGGTAGAAGAAGCCCTTGAAGATGCAGAAACTCAATTCAATGCTATTACTTTCACGAAAGAAAAACCATACAATGATACAGATAGCATGCTAATAAAATGGGGAATTCTGACGCTGTTTTGGGTGAAAGAAAAGAGAGGGGAAGAAAAAAAAAATAGATTATCCTTAAGGAAAAAAGATTAAAAAAGCACAGAAATAATATAACAGCAGAGCTTGGCCTGCTAATAATATGTAGTAATAAGAATCGGGTAATCAGAGAGGGGAATTGACTAAGAGATCAGAATGAACAGAGGAAAGAGAAAGAAAAGAGGGGTAAATAATATGAAAAGAACGTGCAAAATCAATGGCTTTACTTATGTGATATCTCAGAAAATAAAATAAAAAAACAAAAAAAAAAAATATTAATCAAAACAGTACTGAAACAAAAATCGCTGCCTTGATTATGGGAAAAGGTGGTGGGAGAAATGGATACAAACATTTATGATGATATACGAAGGCCAGATCATAGAGGAAGGAGAAGAGTAGAAATAGAGGAAAGGAAAAAAGGAAATAACAAATGAAATGCATGGTTGCAATTTGTGTGTGTGTATGGGTGTGCTTTTGTTTTGTGTAAATGCCACTTGGGCGTAAAATAAGATGGGAATGAACACATGTAACCAGCAAGGACATTTTTTTATAGTCAGCGAATGGAGGGCAGACAAAACGCCTGGTCGATGCAACAATGAAATACACGAAAGGGAAAAGTCGCTCACTCGGAGAGGTATATCAGCCCAGTTAGGGGGTTGTAATCAATCAAGGGCGATAGGTATAAACTGGAAGAAGCAAATTAAAGTAGTTGGAAGACGAAAATATGGACAGCGTCTAGGGAAAACCAGCCTTATAGTAGGTAGATGCTCATCCGGTCTTCGACGTAAAATTTAGAAGCCTGTTAACATCCGTTCCTCCGATTGTCGTGGGGTTGGTTGTAGTTCTGGTTTGTTCTGGGTTCAGAGCCATCAACCGAATATTTAAGGTAGGAAAGGTTCGAATAGCAAGGACATTTCATGACCACGATTTCGAGGTCAAAGTAGAATTCCTCCTGATCTTTTTATCCTAGACAAAACGGAAGATCGCACTAGTGATCCGGCAAGCGAAAACGTCCATTTCAAGAGGAACAACGTCAAAAAAATTACCCACTATCGCTATAACGCAACATTTAAAACCAAGCTCACATCTCGAACCTGCGAACCTGCCAAATCCTCGAGAACAGGGATAAGATCTAGTAGCTCATTATCATGGGCGTCTGAAAACCAGCTGCTGATTGGAATGGCATGTTGCGGATGGAAAATGTAAGAGGTTGGAGAGTTATCAATGATAATGGTATCTCGTAGGTCGCGTCCTACCTGTGAAAGATCCTGAGCGGGAGAAAAATGGTTAACATATATCCATGGGTTCTTCAAGAACAAGCAGCGAGGTCGTAGCATACCTTAACATAATTTCCCTGGTGATTATAACAACTATCTCTAAATAACCGATGATGCACGACTTTATGGATATCTAGCTGATCTAACAGAGGATCACCGTACTATAACGTAAATGTTAGTTTTACGGTTGTTGTCGCTAATCATCATGAAGAGAAGACGAACCTTTGATACAGATGCTGTAAACACAACGACTTCATACAATTCGCCCACTCGTTTCATGAACTGATCAACGCCGGGACGCTTGATAACATAGATGTTATGATATTGTCCTTCGATTTCCACGGGAATCGTGAAATCAGCCTTTTCAAGAACCTGAAATTTCGGTTAGGTACAATTGTATTTGACTGCTAAAGCAAATCGGGAACGATAACATTTTTCTTACCTTGAAACTACTATGAACAAGCGTCTCATCGAGGTCGAGCACTAGGCATTTACGACTCTGAAGGTGCGGCTCGACAGGTGGTAATAACCACTGCTGCTTGTCTTGCGGGATCGCTGGAACGGGGGAAGCATACTTGTTGATCGGATCCGTATTGCGATCTAAGGGGGGAGGAGGAGGAAGTTCGGTCGCTCGCTGTACCGGTTCCTCGTGAGGTATAATTTCCACATCTTCATCTATGTAACTATCCGCCGACTGTGTATCTTGCATGGGAGCATCGTTATCGCCATTGGGCTTCTCTGGGACGGCCTCGGTGGGCTGCACATTCTTCTCAGCCCAAGTACTAGCTGCATTTGAAACTGCAGATTTCTCCGATGCAGCAATAGTAGGCAAACTGCGGGATTCCGATTCTCGAGCTGGATAAGGCTTGGAACCAGAACCAGAACCAGAACCAAAGCCGAAAGACGAGGGAGACTTAGATAGTACGGGAAGGTTTGATCCTTCACCAGTGTGCGTTTTGGTAAAATGATCTAAATACGTTTCACCCCGCGCTGCGGCGACTTCAACCTCAATTTGCGACTCCGTCCGATCCGTATTGGCCTTCAGCGCAACTTTTTCATCAAATGAAGCCAGTTCTCTGGAATCTGCCATGCTCGAATTTGCAGCACTGGCTTCTGCCTTCTCGACAGGCGTTGGTTGTCTACCATGAGATGAGAGCGGCTTTACGGATCTTTTTGGCGGTAGGCTGACACCCTCCTGATCGTCATTCGATGCGCTACAGCAGCTGAGGAAAGAAAACAGCTTCGAAGGTCTCTTTGATCCATTTTTCTTTGGCATGTCATCCATATCGGTAGTTTTAGTTTTGGAATGAGTATTCACAGCATCCGGAACATTGGAACGCTTGGATCGTTTGCTGCTTCCCATGCTATTGGCTCGCTTCTTGTTTCCGGCGTTGTTTTCAGCGACATCTTCGCATCTGTCTGGAGCGGTTGGCTGCCCTCGTAGTTTTATACTAGAAGATGACCGAGATGGGATATGAAGGAATGAGCGTTTTTTCTTCGGATGATCAGCTTGGGTGGAAGCATCCTGTACCGAGTTTGCATGTGATGTGTGCCGTTCTACAGGGCCCTCATCAATTGATGGTTCAGTTGACAAGGTATTATTTTTTGTAGGCGCATCATTTGGAAGAGGTGCGGCAGAGTCTTGAAAGGGACAGCTGAGATTAGCATTATGAGATTTTTGATGAGTGATAATTAGCGGAATAGAATAGAATACTCACTGGACCCTGAGCCTTTAGGTGAGGTCGTCATGGATTGTGTTTTATGAAAGCTAATTCTAGTTAGAGACAGGATGATGAGTCTATTTCCCAAGAGACAGGATAGGAAGATGTAAGTCGATTTAACACAAGCACAGGTAACATGGGCACAGCTGTAAGCTCAATAGCCCTGTATCACTCGGGACATCAAATATAGAACTCGGTCAAGAAAAAGATTTCCCGCTTTATATTTTCCTCCTGCGCCTATCACAGTAAGGATGGTGGGAGGTTCGTTTGTAAAGGGTGGGAGTGACAACGAAGGCTAGCTTCAATCAACTTCAGGAACCCCCTGCAAAGACGTGCGAAACCAGCACCTCTGGTAAATTGCCTTTCCAACCTGTGCTGATATATCAATGCTGGCAAGCAGACGATGGCTTGGGGCCTAAAGCAGGAAGTAACGGTGGTTGGGTCAGAGGATTCCGGAGGCGACACAGTTTCGCCAACCTCGCGTATTTCGCGCCTGCACGAATGGTGTCAACCGTTAAGATTTGACCAAGTGGTCTCCCAACAGACTCTCAAATCAATCGATAAAGCTTCACGGTATATCTCCAGCGGGATGTGAACGAGAGGAGATGGTGTGATGCGGTCGATGGATTCTCCGTGGAGGTAAAGGGAATCAATCCTTGTGATGTTCGGGGAGACCCAAGGCTGGAATCGAGCAAGCAACCTAAGGGGGAATAGTCCCGTTCGGAGTGGACTGAACTCAGAAAAACTGCGGGAGTTCAAGTGGAATCTCGATTAGCACCAGCGAATTGGCCAAGGGGGAATGGGGGGAACCGTCAAGACGCAGAACCAGCCCAACCGACTCAGGGCAAGGAAGACGAGGTTGACAAGCAGGGTAGAAACAAACACAAGGACAGACAAGAGACTGACGGGGAAACAGCAGTCTACGGTCTACAGGAGGTGCTGAAGAAAGATTAAGCGGAGGAGAGGCAGTTCAACGCCAGCATCAGAAGAAGAGAGGTTGGGTCGGGCTTGGTTAGTAAGAGAGAGGGAAAGGGGGCTCTGTGGCTTGGTCGACCAAGGGTTGGTATTGGTACTAGAACTTACGGCCACAGCTGCGACCGCAGTATTATAATTTACCAGGAGATGATCTGCCCTCCATACGTCCAGAACGGGCAACGAGACTGACCTGGGATACAACCCATAGCTTGGACCCTTTCCAAGGTTCCAAAGTCGTGGCTGAAAGTGGTGGAATCAATATTCATATTGCATCCATGGATTGGCTGGCGTACGGAATAGTACGGCGCGTATTGTTTCAGGGTGCGTAATATTACTCTATATAGTTGGACTTCAATTTTACATTATTACTTGTGCGTTGGTACCATCATTTTCTAAAAATACATGTACACGTGACCTAAATTTATACCCATGGATCTAACCCAAGCGATCTCGCAACTGAGATGGCGTCTAGTTTTACTCTCGTTAACACATCATACACCGTGGTACGAGCTTAGACACAATAACTATTCATCAAAGTTAAAAGCTCCTATCAATGGATTAACTATGAAAGCCTGGCCATAAATTTCTAAAGCCTGCACTGCAATATCTGGAAGAGATCAACCTAGAATTTCATAACAACAGTCCGCTTTCAGTGAGTATATGTCGCCCCTGTTTCTCTGATAGATGTTAAAAGCTCCAACCACGGAGCTGTTGCCAGTATAAGCTTATCAACTCAACCTTTGCCTGCTTCAGGGAGGCATGAGTCCCTGGACCTTGTCACGGTTCGAGTCGGCAGGAACTAGCAGATGAGTGCGCTCTTGTGCTTACCTATATCATATCAATACGGGGCGAGCAATTTCAACTCTCAACCATCGCAACCTCAAAATTCGAATGTCCGCAGATGGAGCATCACATTCTCATCTAGAGTTGCGCAGCAGGTGAGGGGATCAAGCAACCTTGAAACCCTGACCTGCTCATCGAAAGGACATGCATGCATATTCCCGTGTCTGTGCTGTGTGCACCATTGAGGAAAGATGGACGCTCTCATAGTTTAAATTGGTCTCACAGTGTAACCACATAAGTCTAAACCTTCTCGCACAAAGATTTCTTCCCTGGTCCCAAATCATGCTGAGATTCAGATATAAAGGTATGGGATTCTCAGCAAGTTAAGTGCTGTTTCATGAAACAGGCGCAAAACCCGGGATATGGATTGCTCTCTGTGTTCTGATCAGATGTACTTTAAAAGTAACACAATTACTTACTTAGTTTTGTGCGCGAGATAGTCGCACTCTTGTTAACACGATTACCGACAGCACATTGGCAAAGCTCCAACTTATCGCCGCAAAATCGTTAACTAGGTCCTGGGTATATTAAACATACCTAGGCAGGATGCATGTGAGAATTCAGCGAGGTCAATAGGTGATGGTAATCATCAGACAGAACAGCACTATCGCCAAGGCATGTGCAGATGCTGTCGCAGTCTTGGCGAGGATGAATAAGAAGTGACCGAGATTTTGCGCCATCCGTGCCAAGTCTGGGGTTTATCACATCATCATTGGACAGCGTCTTTCTTCACGGCGCTTACCCAGGAATCTGGATTGAAAAGAACCCTGTTCTGCGGAAGGGCGAAACCATCATCCGTCGTCTTTGCCCATCAGGCCGATGACGGGTAATTTACCGCTAGCAGGATGGCAAGGTCTGACACTGCAGCTTGGCATCCACTATTAGTTTCTTGGTTACACTGTGAGAGCGACAAACCTCCATTTTGAACCAAAGCCCGCAGACGACATTGGTTGGAGAAACATCAAGGATTTGAAGAGTTTCGAAAATTAAAACTATTGGCTGGCGATTCATAAAAGATTAGTTAATGGGCTGCAGTCGCATGCATCATGTTATGCTTCGGGGTAGGCCGGGAGCCGTCATCGAAACTATGGCTCGCGGAACATTTGACACAGCGGCAGCAGCGTCGGTCGCTAGAAACTTGAGAGTGAAAGCCTGTCAAGGATATGCTTCCACAAATCACAAACTGCATTGCCGACAATGCTGTTCTTGAGACCTCATGGAGCAATTTGTATTCGATCCCACAAACAAATGATCAGTTAGTTTTACGCAGCGTATATTACTGGGTAATATTACGTCACGTCTATTACGTTTATTACACTGGTACTAGTATTTTACGCCTCCGATACAGCACAAACGCTAGTCCGCATTCAGTAATAATGGCTATCACGTGATATTTCGTCATGTGAGCCCAGGTCTCCCCCGGATTTTCAGTGTCGTCACATGTCGCCAAAATGCGCCCGCAAGAAATCCCTCGACAACCTCATGCCTTCAACATAAATCCATGTTTGTCCGGCACAGCCAGTAAATTCCTTCTTACCGCAACCTGGCCACTGACAATGCTCAAACAACTAGGGACAACTGTATCTTATGTCCGCGCATTTGACTTGGCAAAAGAATTTTGATCCAAGGGACCTCGAGAACCTGGGCAGCCTCGACGTGGATTTGTTGTGTCTGATCATGCCATCTCCTGCAGAAGGATAAAACGGTATATTTTGGCGCATTTTCAGGTGGATGCGAGAAACCACACTTTGAACTCCATACCCTCATTCTGATATACCGGCACAATGGCTGCCCAGTCGACGTTGCGGCCTCGAGAAGACCCGTTGCTCCACCTGTACATCCACTACTCAAACCTGCTGCGCGCTCGATTCCGGAAGTCCTCCAAAACTACAAAGTTAGTCGCAACTACGTTTCTTCTGTTGTCGATAATAGGAAGCGGATATGGAGGTTATAGATGGTGGCAGGAATGGTCCAAGGAACGGGCTCAGGGGAAACGTCTGCTGAGAAAGAATTCTGGCATTCGCGGCAAGGATGGTTCGCGAATAATATATGTCCCGTACAGATCGTCTGTCTCCTCTTCCGAAACCTCAAGAGTCACTATTCGCCCGACGAAACCTACTACATTTGATGCCCATCGGCGTCTTTTCTTGAATCCTCCCAGAGCGGCTGGCCTCGGTGACGTATCGTCCATGGTGTCACAAATCCCGCCACTCTCCACCAAGCCAGGCTTGAATCTAGCCTTCTTGCACCAGTTTCTGAGCCTCCTAAGTATCATGATTCCGAGATGGAGCAGCAAAGAAACCGGGTTTCTGATCGGCCATGGCGTTTTCCTTATGCTCAGGACGTACCTATCTCTTGTTGTAGCGAGACTTGACGGAGAGATTGTGCGGGATCTAGTTGCTGGCAGGGGAAGAGCTTTCATTTGGGGCCTCATCAAATGGTGTGGCATTGGAACTTTCGCTTCTTATACGAATGCTATGATCAAATTCCTCCAATCCAAAGTATCGATTGCCTTTCGAACCAGGCTCACTAGGTATATACATGACCTGTACCTTAACGATAACATAAACTACTACAAACTTTCCAACCTTGATGGAGGAGTTGGTGAATCGGCGGATCAATTTATCACCCAGGATCTCACACGGTTCTGTGCGGCCTCTGCGAAGTTATATTCTTCCATTGGGAAACCTCTGGTGGATCTCTTCGTTTTCAACTATCAACTTTATCGTTCACTTGGACCTCTCGCACTGGCGGGTATTCTGAGTGGCTATTTCGGCACAGCAACTATACTCCGCCGTGTTTCCCCACCATTTGGAAAGTTGACAGCGGTTGAAGGTAAAAAAGAGGGAGATTTTAGAACCCTCCACTCTCGACTCCTAGCAAATGCTGAGGAGGTGGCATTCTATGGCGGGGCTGAGATGGAACGTGTGTTTCTCACCAAGAGTTTCAAGGATCTGCAGCGATGGATGGAAGGAATATATAGCCTGAAAATCCGCTATAATATGCTTGAAGATATGATCCTTAAGTACTCTTGGTCTGCTTTTGGATATCTCATCACATCGCTTCCTATATTTCTACCTGCCTGGGGCGGTCTTGGGGGTGTTTCCGAGATGGCTTTCTCTTCGGAAACTTCTGGGAGAGAGAGGGACCGAATGAAAGATTTCATCACAAACAAGCGTCTTATGCTCTCCCTAGCAGATGCAGGTGGTCGCATGATGTACAGCATTAAAGATCTTTCGGAATTGGCTGGGTACACTTCCCGGGTATACACTCTGATTTCAACTCTCCACCGCGTGCACGCTAATGCATATGCCCCTCGCCGTGGTTCTCACCCCGAACTTTACTCTCTTTCGGATGTGCAGGGCACGATCCATAGTGGCTTCGATGGCGTACGTCTAGAGCATGTTCCTGTGGTGGCACCCTTTCTCTTTCCCCAAGGTGGTGACGAGCTTATCGAATCATTATCCTTTATTGTTCATTCCGGGGAGCACCTTTTGATTTCCGGTCCCAATGGCGTTGGTAAATCTGCTATTGCTCGCATAGTCGCTGGGCTCTGGCCAGTTTACCGTGGCCTAGTAAGCCGACCTAGAAACTTTGGTGTGAACGGTATAATGTTCCTTCCCCAGCGCCCGTATTTAAGCATAGGCACCCTACGTGATCAAGTCATCTACCCCCACAGCGAAATGGACATGCGAGAGGATGGAAAGAGCGAGGCAGATCTCCTTCAAGTCCTCAACGACGTCCATCTCGGCTACTTGCCTGACCGTGAGGGTGGTTGGGACTGTCGCAAGGAGTGGAAAGATGTTCTGAGCGGCGGCGAGAAACAGCGCATGGGCATGGCCAGGCTTCTCTATCATGAACCTAGATATGCGTTCGTCGACGAAGCCACCTCTGCCGTTTCTTCTGACGTCGAAGGCTTACTCTACGAACAAGCTAAGCGACGCAACATCACTCTAATCACAATCTCCACGCGCCTTTCGCTTAAGAAATACCACACATTCAATCTGACGCTTGGCCTGGGAGAGGATGGCACCGAATGGGAGATCGACCGGATCGGAACGGAGAAGGAGAAAATGGGCGTTGAGAAAGAGATACAGGAGCTAAGGAAACGACTGGATAAGGTTGAGGCATGGAAGGTTCGGAAGCAGGAAATAAACGACGAGCTGCGTAAAGTGTGGGTGGCTAAGAGTGAGGCTGGCGAGGCTGAACTAGCTCCCCCCCCTTATCAAGCAGGCAAAGCAGATACGATCGAACAACGTCGAATATGAGGGGGGAGAAGATACAGACACCCTGGAGGCTTTGGGGCCGGTGCTATAGAATAGACCATCTGCATCGCTTACTTTTAAAACGAACAATAGTATCTAGCTTAGTATTTGTGCAGTACATATTATTAAGACTTGTTTTGTAGCTGGTTACATTTTCTTAGTGCACTGTCGTAACGTTGCATATTGTTATTCCAGCTAAACCCCGTTTGCATTTCCGAACATTCCATTGAATATCGTATGATACCTGAATGAGTAATCTCGCCGATGACTGGATCATGTAGGCGAGCGAAGCGTTTAGCCAAATCGCTTTTTGCAAAAACGCAGCCAGCATACTCACATCCTGGTGGTCCTACCACCCATTCGCCCTCCTTGGGCAGCATAAGCAGCCAACAGGTGGAGAGAAAATTAGCACTCTGCCGTCCCTCTTCGCATAAGAAACGATACTTATCTGAAGTCATGAGAAAACAGCGAATCATACAAAATCAAGAAATTGGAATCTACGGAAGAGCAGCCAGGCTTTATCATAACACAAGTTTCGTTTGTGCCTATCGGAAATGACGCTCTATTCTCTAACATGAAGCTCAACGGGCTAGCGTCAGCTGGCATTTATCTAAATATATAAATACTTGTTTTATGCTCTCCTCTAGAGACATTTTAGTTGATTTAGGCATCTATGTTGCCCCGCGTTATATCGATGTAGCGAGCTCAACAAGGGAATTTATTTACACATACACATTATATACATTTTTATAATTTAAAGCCACAGGATAGCTCATTGCATACCCGCGACTCCCACAAGATCGGACAAAGCGGAATATTACTGAGGAGGATTATATCACGATGCTATCGAATATTCAATCCATCATCCCTCCGGGGATTTTTTGGATACCCATTGTTCTTCTCACTTCTCCATTCCTCCTGACGTGGTTGTTTACTAACCTGAAGGCACGCCGGGGATTCCGAAACGGGGGCGAGCCTCCACTGATTCCATATACGATCCCATGGCTTGGCCACGGCCTTTTCTTCCGTCGGGGCACAACTTATTTCTCGTCTTGGGTTAGGTTAGTGGAATCATGCTTCCTCCAGCCGACTGCGATGTCCCTTAATCACTGACCCCTGTACACGTGTTCTAAACCTGAACCTCGTCCCTCTTCCCCGAAAGCTGGAGTCTATATTTTCCCTGAAGTGATAGAGAAAACAAGAAGGAAGATGCCAGCAATGGTATGGTCCATCATACAATGACTTTTGCTTATCATGTTTTGATCCCGTTTTTTGTTAGGGAAAAATATCCCAATGTGCCGGTTTTGAGAACGTTAATCGCAGGCGACTATTTGTATCCTATTTTCGACCTAAAACTGGCAAGCCAGATAGAGCGCCGCCCAAAGGTGTTCACGTTCGACCCCATCGTGATGCTCGTGAATAAGGCTATTGGAGCTCCCAAAGCAGACCTTGATATCCTTGCGAATGGACCTCCAAGGTCTACTGACGGTCAGAATGGGAATGGCGCAGGCCGTGGAATAATTCCAGAGCTCCATCGACAGCATTTCCCCGGTCTTAATGGCCCATCTTTACCGCATATGATATCTAAATTCAGTGAGATCTTGGCCGCAAACTTAGAAAAGGAGTTTCCAAGGGAAAGCGGTGTCGACACGGGGTCTTGGGTAACGCTTGATCTTAAAGAATTTTACATGCGGCACCTCACCCTTGCTTCGATACCGATGTTAATGGGGACGCGTCTCATGGAGGTTTGGCCGCGAGCCTATGAAGACATGTGGGAGTTTGACACCCACGTATTGACGCTTACGTCAAACATGCCTAGGCTATTAATCCCGAGAGCATCCGCTAGTCGAGACCGAATGATCTCTTTCATGGAACGATGGGAAAGTGAAGCATACAAACATCGAGATTTCTTTGGACTGGAATCGGAAAATCCGGCTTGGGACCCCTATTGGGGAGCTAGACTGGTGAGACAAAGGCACCGCACGTTTCTGAACAATGGTGTCAGCAAACGCGGACGAGCCGTTTTTCACTTGGGAGTCTTGTGGGCGTACGTTGTGTTGTTTTCGTTGTATATTTCTTCTCTCCATCTGCTAAATTGCTGATTATCGTTTTAAATAAAGAACAATTAACAACGCCGTCGCAGCCGCGGTGTGGATGCTGATGCACTGCCTGCTAGACCCACACCTCGAACGGCGAGTCCGCTCCGTAATCGCTTCGGCTCAAAATCAAGACGGCACGCTGGATATTGATAGTTTAGCTTTGGACAAGCTCATCAAATCCCTATTTCTTGAGACTCTGCGCTCATATGTCTCAGCACCCTCACTACGGGTAATTCTAGAAACAATTGAACTTGAGGGTTACACCTTTCGCAAGGGAGGAACGATAATCATTCCGGGACGAGAACTGCAAATGGAGGAAAACATATGGTCTGCTGGCGGGTCCTTGCCTGGGCCTTTGGAGTTCTGGCCGGAGAGGTTTATCGACAGTAAATGCAATGACGATAGAGACATGGCAGCTGAAGCTATTGGGCATACTAATTCTCAAGATGAAGTTAAACGCGATCCTGTCGTCAAAAACGAGGTGAAGCTATCGGTAGATGCGATGACGATCCCTGGTAAGATACGGTCGAGGGAAATGAGAGAACGTATGAACTGGATGCGTCCTTTTGGAGCGGGCACCACGCTTTGCCCCGGAAGAAACTTGTCAATGTATGAAATGATTATTGGTATGGCGACTATGTTGTCGACATTTGAGATCGAGGTTAATAAAGAAGCCCTACATTCGAATGGAATGCCACAACCAAACTTTGACGTATCAGGGGCAATGCCCCCGGACAGGCCGTTTATTATTAGAATGAGGAGGATAACTGTTGTGCACTAGGAGTCTTGGAGACAAGTTGGTGGCCGGTAAGGTAGCAAGTTATGATAAGGCGATATGTTGTGAATACGAACGGTTAGTTATTTTGGCATAGTGGCGAACCGGGATATTTATGAACGCTAATAGGTCCATTCTCGCGGGGCTGGCTTTAGAGCAGACAGCCTTGGGGAGATGTCACAGTTATCCTTTTCTTGGTTCAAGCGTGGTTTAAATATCAGAAAACCGAGCAATTCCTTAATCTATCAACCCAGGCCTTCCTACAAAATCCTCGATACAGATTCCACACTTCCCATGATAAACCTCCCATCATGAATGAAAACCGCGACAGTCTCGTCACCAGTTGCTAACGGGTGTATAAACCCTAAGCCAAGCGTCTTTGAGAGTGACAGGCTCTGGTTCTGGCGAAATCATTGTGGTGGTAATTCGTCCTTAGATATGAGGTTTGCGTGCTAAGATATCAATTCTGTCATAGTTCTTCAACAGTGGAGTCCGACAAGAGGATGTCCCTGCCAATTTCTTGATGAACTGTAAAATATTAGTATACATTTGGTTGGTGAGATCTCATTTGCAACTTACCTGCTCCCATGCAGATGCATGGACTCACTCCATTTCTATAGTTTGCCAGCTAGTGTATGACGATGAGAATTGTGACATCTTCTATAACCAACCTCTACATGAGGGGGAAGAATGAGTATCTGTACCCGCGAGAGCAGTCCACGTCAATCCCAAACGCATTCACCCCGCTGTCACATTCTTGCGATTGATACCTAGGTTCATACCTTTATGCCTTGTATCACCCGACGCAGATTTGTATTATTAGAAATTCTGAACGAGAAAGAATTAAAAAAAACTTCAGTGCATGACACCTGATGAATGTTTATTTACACTTAAAGCGACGTATTTAATCATGCTTGATGATTATGGATCTTACCACAGTTGTCTCATCGGGGGGAGAATCCTCTCATCCAAAGATGGTGACTCAGTTGATGGACCGCTATAGTTCACTCTGTCAAATTAATAATGTTACAACGGGCGGCTACCCCGTTGGGCAAGATCATACATGTTGAAACGAACATGTGTAAAGGCACAAGCGCATACACACACGATAGCTTTGAGTGTGGGTTTTACGTAGGCACACGGTAGAATGGAAATGACTCTACTTCCCGGAAAGTTATGTGGCAGTTCTTTTGAGTTACATCTGAGAGCGGCCCTTCTAATGATCAATGAGTGGTACGGTTTTAAATGGAAGCAGACAAATTCTAGTGTCAAATAATCATAGAGAAATTGGGTCAAAACACTTGTCGAAAGTAAGAAATTGAGGGGTCTGCTCCTCATTGCCTGAGGGATGAAACATGTCTCATTTGAACTGAAGTTCAGCAATCTCAAGTTGAAATATGAGTCGACCAATAATATTAACTGCCTCATTTCCTCACGTGACTTATATTCAATGACTTTCAATTTATTTCTTCATTTAATTATTCCTTTTTCTTAAACAATTCAAAAAACGCATCAACACCATCATTTCAAGAGAATGAAGCTATATAAAATGAAAGGAAATTCAACCACCTAGCTTAGTGATTTTTTATACATTTTTTTCCCTGATAAACCATGCCGCCTCTCAACCTGCCGCATGATGACCAGGGCGGCCTCATCGAAATCCCGATCGATAAAACTTTTAGTGATGGGGATAAAAATATCTGGCCGACACATGAGCGTCATGAAAAAGAAGATCCAAAGCTGTACCTCGTGAAACTCGCCAGTTTGTGGATGAAAGAGAGAGGGGAGGCGAAAACAGGTTAGTGATGATGCTTCTAATCCTTTAATCATATAAAATATGCAACTTCCTTTGTCGAGCTATTTTGTTTTTCAATCCTCGAGTTGAATTTTTGCGACTCTCTGGATTATGTATTGTGATGTGTGATGTACTGTTTACCCCTTCTCTCGTGGTTCTACCCTTATTCCAAGATAAGGAACACTTTATTTGGGAAGATCACAAGAATAATTTAATTTCAACAATATGTATTTTCTTATTATATCATATAATTCAGAGCTTCATCTACATGCATTTTCAGCTCAAAATTTCATATATCGGGCTTGTTGCCACGTTGATTTCCCTACTCAATAGTTGCCATGTTACCAATTAACACATAACCGCTTAAGTATAGGGAAACATTATATTCTTGACCAACTGCCTGAAGGATATGTGTATATGTCCCGGGCACGTCAACACCATCCTGATCTTGTTAGTAGTATCTTTTCCAGTGAATTGGAATTATGTACATTCATGAACAGAAGCTGATTAGCAACATAATATCAGCGGGACAAATATCTGTTCGGTCACCCGTCCGGCTATTACTACAACTCTCCAAATCGATTCTGGCCACATTTTTACTATCTGATGAATCATGGTGCCGCTCCATGCCGCTGCGAACCTTGTCGAGCCAAGAAGCAGTTATTGACAGTTGACGACGGGCCTGGAATGGGAAGCCAGAGACGTAAGCCTGGGCCTAAACCCAAACCCAGATTAAGTGAATATCACATATCCGCAAATGGCGGAATAAGAAGACCTGGTAAGAGATCATTTCCACCATTTTATGGAACTCTATCATGTCTACATTCATCGGATCGTGGCAGCTAACGCTATATTGTGAATATAGGGCGTCACAAAATGAGAAAATATGTAGCCGAAGATGAAGAGGGAACGCCAGATGTGTTCAAAAGTCTCGTAATGAAGTTGAAATCTTCAGGTACCCTAGATGAACCGATCAAAGAACCGTTAAGTATGGACTGGAGAGCCGAGCGCAGTCAACTTCAGGACCATATCACCAGAATATTTATGCAACATTCGTTCATCCCGCGTATTGGTGAACTTGTTTTATGCTGTTATTCCTTCCGGGGAACGGAGTTAAAATACAACCCACGTACTGAGAGCTTCGAAATGTATTGTCGGAAAACGAAGAGATTCCTTGGAATCCCTGAATGGCGAGCAGGAACTGTTACACAAACTGCGATGGAAGCTCCAATTCTCGAAGACGTAATTACGGAAACAAAGAAGAAATTGGCTGTTAACATGTCTGGCTTCCGGGTGGAGACGTTTCCCGACCCAAATAGTACAGACAAGAGCCTCTCAAGTCAATACAAATACGTGCCACTGAGCTGCATCCGGCCTCTTAACTATTGGCAAATATTTTTGCAGGGGATCCCACCCGGCGACTACCACCCGTCTATTCAAAATGCACTCACAATCATGTCTTCTTTCTCAGTGTTGGATAAGTACCATTTTAAGGGAAAATGGCCGGACGCTACCGTCTATTGCAAAGGAATCTTCATTGGCTCCGAACTCCTGATCAAAGGTGACGGTGTTCGACTCATGCCGCGGTCAGAAACGCCTTCGGCAAGCCCATACCACCAAGTTACCGATGTGCTAGTCATAGAGAGCATTCACGTCAAGCTCCGAAACTGTGACGCAAATATGTCCTCTCCGCTACTGTGTGAGTCAACAGCAGTTCGTCTCGTGGGTAAAACGTATACCCTTTCACCCAAAAATGCTCATAGAGAACCACATTCGATCGACCCCCCAAAACCACTTACTGAAGAGGAGGTTATTGATTCATTTGAATGCGTGGGAATGCGAGGGTACGGAACATGGTACCGAATGCACCCAAAAAAGCATAGCATTCAGATATCCCTAGATCATGTTGTTGGTCGTTGCTACGAGTCAGAGCTCATGGCCCTAATGTTTGACGATCTCTCTCTCGGCCTGGACCTTGAAGGCGTGAAATACGGCCGTGAATATGGTCGATCAACTGATCAACGATTAAGTCCAGGAAAGAAGTGGTTTTGCGGGGATTCCAGAGTTGAGGCTCTCGCCCTCGAAACGTTGAATCAGCATGAAGTGGGCATATATGATGACGCCAGGGATGTAAAGATGTTCCGCGCAAATTTGAGGATAATTGATGGAACGGCGACCAATGCGGACCTCAGGGATGCTAAAATTACCCGTACAACGGGCAGACCACGGGCCGGGCTCATTGGTGGCAGAATTCCGTCAACCACTTTCGAAAGCGTGGGCAGGATGAGCACCCTAGTTTCAAGTGCTCTTGGGCCACTAGAGGCTTCTATTATCCCTAGCCCTATGGATCTTACGTCCGCTCCTGCTTCGGATGTCCAGGAACAGGACTCTGCGGATTCTTCTGAGAGTGAGACAAGTGACGAATTGGCGAGCGGATTTCCGTCGATGCTTACGGTCCGTGGTGGAACGGAAGAGAGCGAAGGCGGCGACTACAAACCGTCTAACACTGGGCCACAGGCGAAGCGGATTAAATACATGTGAATCCTTATTTTAACTATCATGGGGTGGCGGGTTTCACTCTTTCTCCCATTGCATTAAAGTGCGGCGTTTGTTTGCTATGCGATCGGCTTCTCATGTTAAAAGGCGTGATATCTCATGAGCGAATTGGCCTTAGATATTTCCCATTTCGATTTGTATTCCATCTTTGGTGTTCTCTGGCATGAGCCTTCCTTTGCCATAACTTGCACTCTGCTTTCGGCTCTGCTTCTCTTCTACCCTTTATTGTCTGCATTTGCGAGATACCTCTGTATACTATCACCCTTCAGCACGACAGCACCTCCTACAAATGACGTGAAACGTGTCAATAGATCACGTAATTGTTTGTTTATTTATATATTTTTGTGATGATATCTCCCTTTTCTGCAGCGATGATGTGCAGTGATGATGTGCACAAACTCCTGGACGACCAGAGCATAGCATTCCAATGAGAAAATCACATTTAAATACATTAATCATATTTAAATACATTCATCGTAGGAGCTAAACGAACAATCCGGAAAAGATTATATCAAACACGTCGCAAGTATACAATACATACTCCTATAATTCATGTATCAATATAATCCACCTAATGATTCCTCTCCACCACTTCCCTCGCAAAGTCCGCAAACGTCTTCCCTTCCTGCACCTCCTCTCCTAAATTCGGTTGCGT